CCTTATAGAGAATGAGAAGTAACCATGGGAACGGATAGCGTATCCTGCTAATATGGCGGCGCCTTCCCGAAATGCAATGCAGAGTGAAAAGATCGTGACGTAACTCCTCATTCTCTATAGGTGAGTAACACCTTGTCTACAACAGCTAAAGTCTGCCTACACTGGACGCGATCAAACGACCGTTGAAAACCATTTGAAATTTGGCGTCAGCACGTCATAAATAGAAACGGCAGCAGTTTTCTGTCGGGGATTTGTTGCGCCGCGCCGCTCACGTCCGATGTAGACACGGTGTAACATTGGTTTTGCTTTGTTTCACAGAACTAATCGTTGCCTGGGTTATCAAATAGAGCTATCAAAATAGGGGCAAGACCCTTTTGGGGTAGGGGCGTGTTTGTTTTGGTGATTTCAAATATCAACATTGGCTACCAGAAATCACCCACTCTGCCTTTAACCCTAATCAAACACACCTGAACCAGCTAATCAAGGTCTTCAGGGCTACTTAATTACAGACAGGTCTATTGAAGCAGGGTTGGAACTTAAGTCTGCAGGAAGGTAGCTCTCCAGGGGTTGAGTTGGAGAACCCTGGTCTTTACTGAGTAATTAAAAACTGCTTCTTAGCTCTTCATTTTACCTCTGTTGTGTTTGGCCCCTTAATTGGTGCTTGCAGCTATATTTTAAAGTTTATTTTTATATTGGTCTCATCCAATCATCCAAAAATCATGGTTTAAACAATGACTAACAAAATGTTTTTGGTTTTATCTTATGTAACATTTTGTCTGAAGTATAAAACAAATATTGAGTATATTAAATATAGTTTTTATAAAGAAATAAACTTTTTACTTTGTGTGAATGTTTTTGTCTTTGGGACAAGAAATATGTTGTTATTAATATTACATCAATATTTAAGGTTTGAACCAAACCATAAATATAATTTGAGAAAAGCTAATAAGTTTGGCTGTAACAAATTTGAAGAATTAACTAATTATTTTTAAGTTGGTCCAAGTATAATTTATTTTTCAGTGCACAGACCTTATTTTCTTATACAAAAAGCAAATCTAAGTTGCTATGAAACTGTGATAAAGGTAATAAAGATTTTGAAGACTGATTTTAATTATTTTAATTTGCCTCCTATAAAAATGCTAAACATTGAAACGAGATGAAATGTGGTTCATGTTTGATAAAATGAATTGCAAGTTAAGGTCAGTGTTTTCTCACCGTCAGCATTGTCTAGACTCTGTTTATGGCACACTTCAAACGCCTGACCCACGGTCCGCACTATCCTCATGGCTTGGCTCTGAGACACAGACGGTAGATCTCTAAGCAACCAGGGTTTATTGAACATGTCAAACATGCTTTTCCACATGCAGGTAAATGTCTGTAGATTTTCATTTGATATAGGACAAAAAAGCTGTACTGTGAGAGGCAGAAAAATTAATTCACCTTTGAGAGAGGAAAAGTGATTCATAGAAAAGAATGACAGATATAAGGAAAAGAGAAGGAGTGAGTGAGAGGGAGAACATTACATTCATAAGTCAATTCCACATTATAGTGGTGCCGTCAAAGTGATGGATTAGCTTATTTTAGATGGGCCCTTGTGCTGTGAACAAAACCCAAGCCAACGAGACTTATATTGAGCAGCTTATGCCAACATCAATTTCTTTTTCTGTAGAAAACGGCTAATCTGTTGCAGGTTAAAAATAGCCCACGAGACAAAGTTTGCAACAGAATTACTTAGAATTGTCATAAAATGGTAGTTAGATCATTAATATCAAAGTTGATTGAATTTTTGTGTGGATTTAGAGGAAGAAAATCCATAATTTGTTTTAGCAGTTTTTACATTTGCTAGATCTTTTGCTAAATCTTTGATTAAATGTATGTTTTCTTGACATTTTTTGCAATTATATATATATATATATACCCCAAACTTTTTAATGGTAGTGTATAATGTTACAAAAGCTTTCCATTTTTGATAATTGCTGTTATTTTGAATGATCTATTCATCAAAGAACTGTTTTCAACAAGAATAATAAATGATTTAATTACAGATTATTACATAAGAATAAATGTTTCTTAAGCAGAGAATCAGAATATTAGAATAATTTCTGAAGGATCATGTGACACTGAAGACTGGAGAATTGGCTTGTACATTAATTTTAAAATAAATTCAAATACAACATTTATTTTAAAATGTAAAAACATTTCACAATATTGTATAACATATCTTTATTGAGTTTTTACAAAGTTTTTCCAAAAAACACAACATCCTTCCCCACAACTTACCCCAGACAGGTTAAAAAAAATAAGAATAAATAAAAAAATAAAATGTAGATACAAAAAAATCTTCAATATCTCAATTTTTAACAAAGTTCAAAAACACCTCCCAGATATAAAACAATTCAAAGGGTTTCTTTCTTATTACATATGTAAGTTTTTCAAGAGCCAAACATGTTATTAAGTTTTTCAGCCATAGTCCAATGGAAGGGCGATTGGTATTTTTCCAGCACAGGGCAATAGAACGTCTTGCTTGTAATAGAAAGTTGGTGGATTTGTGTCTTTCTTTAGTGGACAAAGAGCAATCGTCTTCATACATACTCAATACACGACTTACAGGAATTGAGAGGAAGTAAATTGAGAAACATATTGAGTCACCCCAACCCAAAACTTCTGCACCTCCTCACATTCCCACACACAATGGAAAAATGTACCTTGACGCTTACTGCATTTAAAACACAGATCAGGGATATTAGGGTTAAATGTATTTAATCTTACAGGGGTTATATAAGTTCTCATTACCCAATTATATTGTAAGAGTCTCAACCGAGAGTTCAAAGTTTGTGTTTGTGCATTTAAACAAATTGTATTCCAGTCATCTAATGAAATATCCATATTTATATCTTGGATCCATGCTTGTCTTTTATTTTCAGAGATTTCTTTATGATTTCCTCTTAGTATGTTATATAATTGGGTAATCCGTCCTTTAATGTAGCAATCTTGCAATGTGACTGTTTCCAATATCGACATTGGGGGGAGTTGTGTAGAATTCTTTAAACGTGTAAAAATAAAACTTCTGAGTTGCAAATACTTAAAAAAGTGTTTCTGAGGTATGTGAAATTTCGCTACAAGATCATCAAATGACATTAATATATTATCTTCCTACAAATCTTTCAATCTAATCATGCCCTTATTCATCCACAATTTGAACCCCATATCCTTTTTAGCTGGGCTGAAATGATCATTTCCCAAGATAGGAGAAAAATGGGAAAACACTGGGAGGTCTTCAAGATATTTATGGGCTTCGTACCAGATTACAATAGTATTTTTTACAAATGGATTATCTGTCCTTTTTTTAGTTCTTTAAGAGGTGCTGAATATAAAAAGCTGTCAAGTGTCAAGCCTTTTGTGGCCAATTTTTCAACATGTAACTAAGGCACAGCGGCAGAACCAGAACAATGCAGCCCTCAACTGAGCAGCCCAATAATACCAAAATAAATTAGGTAGTTGGAGCCCTCCCCTTTCATAAGCCAGATATAGTAAAGAAAGTCTCAGTCTTGGCTTCCTGTTGTTCCAAATAAAATTAGAGAGAAGTTTTCTTATTCTTAGAAAAAATTTTGGGGGAGGGGGAAGCGGTAGTGATTGAAAAACATATACAAATTTAGGTAGTATATTCATCTTAATCACGTTTATTCTTCCCATTAAAGAAAGAGGCAGTGTCATCCATCTAGTCGTTTCTTCAGATAATTTAGCCATCAAAGGTTCATAATTAGCTGAACTGAGGTTATTTTAAATCCTAGATAATCAAAACCATTTAGAGCATTTACAAATGGGTGACTCACTTTAGGATTTAATCTCGCTTGTTCATTGAGAAACATAATTGAAGACTTATCTTTATTTACTTTAAATCCAGAAAAATTGCCAAACAGGCCAATAAGCTTTAAGAGGGATGGGATAGATTTTTCAAGTTCTGATAGAAATACGATGGCATCATCAGCGTATAGGGCAATGCGATGTTCTAAAGCTTCTGTAAAAATACCATGAATAGTAGGGTGTGATCTTATTGCTATTGCCAGAGGCTCCATAGCTAGTACAAAAAGTAGAGGTGAAAGTGGTGAGCCTTGCCTAGTACCCAGACTACGTTTAAATGAAGGCGAGATTAGACTGTTAGTGAGTACCTTTGCAGAAGAATCAACTAAAAGAATTTCCATCCATTCCCAGAAAAAGTCACCAAATCCAAATCTTGCTAGCACCTCCATTAAGTAAGGCCACCACTGTGAAAGCCGATTCGGCGATCCACAGCGCGAAGTTGATGTATTTCCTCAGCGACCAGCATGGATCGGCTCCAGGTATGACGAAGCGGATATCGTCCTCTTTTGGAAGGCCAAACAAAGTAGTTTCGCTTTCACAACGAAACACAGCGCCTTCACGACATGGCGGCGGCGGCAATAACAATACTACAGCGAGAATAAAAGTTCTCCATGCTCAACCTAAATACACGTACCTGGGCTGAGAGGATGAGGAGGCTCAGAGGAGGCTCAAACAAGAGCCTAACAACTCAAAAAACTTGCTATTACACCAAGTCAGAAGCCTCCTTCACCAATAATGTAGATATCCCACATTATACATAGTTCCTATTCTGTAAAATAAATAGAAACCAAAAAGGAATTCTGAAAGAGAAAGCACTCCTCGTCAGATTGCTTCCATGCCCCGCCTACAATCCCCGTGATCGGTCTGATTAACTGCCTCGGGCGGCAGCCACGAGACCCAAAACGCGGGTGAGAGGCGCTCAATTCTCAAAGATAATCAGGCATACTCAACGCGATCACATCTCACAGCGTGGCTATATCTCCCTCGAGAACCAAACACACTCTGTTCAAACACTAAATTCTGTCAAGAATCAGGCAAGAACAGAAACCGCCGTGAATGCATCGCATTAAGCTTGTTCAACTCCCTCGAGAGGCGAACGCACTCGTGCAAACGAATGCAAACAGTGAGCGCATCGATCCTTATCTCTCGTGAGTCAAACGCATGTGCTTCCGTACACAAGGCTTGAAGACAAAGAAGAGGGTGACGTTTTCCACAGGTGCTCTTTTATACCCGCACTCACTTTATTGTTTACGTCATAGGCTGCCGCCTGCCAATGTCAAGTCATTGTCGTTTTTTCATTCATGCTTCAGACACCGGTCACGCTGGAGGCGTTCCCCTAGCGCCCTCTAGAGGACGCAGCGTGGAGTTCCCTTTCGAAAGGGAACAAGAATATTCTTTTTTGATGGATTTAATGTTCTCCAGGGGTCACATAAATTTAAATATTTCATAAACTGTATAATGTTTTTCCTGCTTTGAGAGTGAGAGCTATCCAGTCTCGAAGAGTGGTCAAGCAGCGGGTCCAGAGTGCAGTTAAAGTCACTTGCTATTATAACTATACCTGGAAGAGAGGCTAGCAGCATAAAAAGATTTTCAAAAAACATTGGGTTATCCTCTTCTGGGCCATAAATATTAACCAGATTAATAACTTTACTCATATAGGTTCCCTATCAAATATCTACCGGCCTTGTCTGTAATACTGTTATTTACTAAAAAGGGTGCGGACTTATGGATCAACAACATAACCCCTCTGGAATGAGAAGAATAACATGAAGCCAAGATTTGACCTGGCCATCTTCTTTGCACCTTCAATAGCTCCTCTTTGAGTAAATGAGTCTCCTGTAAAAATACTATGGAAGATTCCAGTTGTTTAATCCTTGTCATAACTTGTTTAAGCTTAACCATTCTGATCATCCTCCTAACATTCCAAGAGGTGAACTTCAGCTTATTTTGTGAGATTTTCTTTAAATTAGGATAGATTGTACATCTTTATATACACACATGTTTATCAAATAATATTTTGATGTGGAAGTTAACCAAAAGATCTGCCCGACTAAGGTGTAATTATTAAAAAAAACAAGACCAAAATAATAACAAAAAAAACTGCCATGAACAAATTACCTTAGCTGTCCACCCGAATAAGACAGCCTGACCCCTTTGCCCTCCCCACTTTAACACCTTGGGATAGAGTTATGTCCCAACACTGATCCAATATCAAAAAGGAAGCAGTTAAAGAAAACTAAGCGATTAGCTAAAAAGAAAAAGAAAAACGAATTGGAATTGTGTGAAACTCCTGGCATCACTCTGTGGATTTATGGACATTCACTCCAGAAAGGTCTTTCAAATTATATAGCTGAACTCTTCAAAGAAAATAGACATTTACAATGCGTCTAATTCTCTTATTCACTACCGCATTGGCTACTGTCATTACGGAAACAATGAGAATAAACACATTATACCCAGCAGAAAACAAGGCCTCTGCATATCAAAAGTGAAAAACAATCATTTCGGCTGGTTATTTTTAAACAGGGAAAACTGACAAACTTCCCTTTAAGTCCTTTATGCTTCAGCTGCACTCTGTATTCCCTGTATGAACTTTTCGGCATCAGACGGGTCTTCTATGTTACACAGATATATTTGCATATCGCGGAATACACAATATAGCAAAATCTCTAACGATAAACACTTTATTTCACGGTAACGATATATACCGTCATACCATCCAGCCCTAATCTATATATAAAACACAGCACTGATCCAGTGACTATTCCATCAGATGGTCTGAAACTCTCTCACATTGGTCCTGGACCAGAAGGCCATCCTTAGTGTTAAACCCAGTTACTTTAAACTTCATCTGATAATTAATAGAACAACTAAATAATTGATCTCCAGCAGAATTAATCCTCCGCTAAGATGTCCCATTTTTCCATTTCCATTCCTGGGCAATCAATCAATATTATTAACATACATGTATTTGTGCAAATTTTATCAAATGTCTGGTGGATTTCCTGTATTATGGTGATGTTTACCTTTCTCTTTGATTTGAAGACATTACAGCGGAACACATTGCTTTTATTGTCTCTTGCTATGTAACTGAATATCTTCAGGTCCTGTGAGTCATGCGAGACGTAAAATATTCTGAAAAGAAAAAAAAAAAAGATTAATGAGCTGCAGTAATTGACCTTAAAACTGTCTCATTGCCATGGCAACAACAAGGCCAACACGTTCTTCACTGACTTGGTCCCTTTGACGTCATAAAGCATTACAGAATAAAAATTTAGGTATCGGCATCTGTATCGGCAAGTACCAAAAATAAAAGTATCGGTATCGGGCGAGTACTGGAAAAAGTGGTATCGGTGCATCCCTACTTAAAACTGTCTCATTGCCATGGCAACAACAAGGCCAACACGTTCTTCACTGACTTGGTCCCTTTGACGTCATAAAGCATTACAGAAATACATACAATGTGTAGATTTTGATATTACAGCAGGTTTTGGAATACAACAGTAAATATTACAATAGTGTCCAGCTAAAACTCTAGAAATTGATCCATTTCAGAACGATCATGTTGGTATTGGACATTGCTTTAATACAATAAAACTAAAGTGGACTGACACTAGTTAACACTGATGATGTTACAGCTAAACAGTGTGTTCCCTTTCGAAAGGGAAATCGTGCTGCGTCCCCTAGAGGGTGCTATGGGGAATGTGGCATGACCAGTGTCTGAAGCATGAGTCTAAATACGACAATGAACTTGACATTGGCAGGCGGCAGCCTATGATGTCACAACTGGTGCGGCCGACAGTATAAAAGGGCACCTGTGAAATACATTAGGAGCATTTTAAAACGTAACATTTTGTAATAAATTAGGAGCACACACGTTTAACTCCTGAAGGAGCAGAAAGCGCGCATTGAAAGGATTTCTCAATGAAAGCTCCATTCGCGCCGTCCCTATTCTCGAGGGATGTGAGACACGCTTTTGGGTGGAATGCTGTCTTCTCTTCGAACAAGCTGGATGCACTAAGTATGATGCATTCCTGAGACTGACTACAAGAGACAGGTAAGGAACTCTTTCCTTTCTGCTCTGTCCTGAGGGATAGTAGTTAGAATTTGTACGAGTGCGTTTGGCTCTCTATAAAGCACTTATAGTGATGCATTCACGTCTGTTGTCGTATGATTCTTTTCAGAGTGATAGAGGTTAAATCGCACGCTTTTGTGCGATGCGGTTGCAATAATTGGCTCCAACTGGGCTTGACTCTCTCTTGAGGGATGAGAGTTGAGTGTCTGCACCCCGCGGTTGGGTCCCACGACCGCCATTACGGTGAGGCGGGACTAAGTGCAGGGGTTGTAGGCAGAGCACGGACAAGTCAAACAGGAAGTTTTCCTTTTTTGTCTCCTCTTGGTGACTCAAATAACATTATTGTTGTTAATGTGTCTAATTCTGAGGAATTAAGAGACAGAAAAGTGCTGTTATTATTATTATTATTATTAAAGTTATAGCTTGCACCAATGACAGATTAGATCCATTTTGGCTGCATGAGACAGATTTTGTTGAAAAGTATTTCTGTCTGTACATACCACCTGTCCCTGTGAGCCCTCTGTTTTTCCTTTGATCTCCATGCTGAGGCAGAAAGATTGTAAGAGATTCCATAATACGTGGAAATGAAGGCATTGAAGGCTCTGACCTGGCCATTTGGGTTTTTATGTTCTGCTGAATGGCAGGTTCAATAAGGAGCTCTGCTCTGATAGCATCATCAAGTCGTTAGGCTTTCTGTAAGCCTCCCTGGTAAGCCGTTCTGAGTGTAGGATGTAGTTAGGCATCATCTAATCTTAGAGAGTTGTTATGCTGAGACTTCCATCCACAGAGCTCCATCACACAGTGGTGCGGAGTTGTTAGGCTTTCTGAGCCTCCTTGGCCACTGCTTTTAGGTAGGGTTACCTATGAGCCCAGATATAAGATAGCAAGTGCGAGTTGTAGGCTCTCTGTCAGCCTCCTTGCAGGATATCCTGAGTAAGTAGTTAGGTCTCCTCTCATCTTAGAGAGTCGTCATTTTGAGACCTCTGCTCCTAGTGCTCGACCTGGCAGTTTGCTAAGTTGTTAGGCCCTTTGTGACTACTGCGAGTGTTGTCAGGTCTCCTCTTGCGACAGAGAGTTATTTTTATTGAGGTCTCCGCTCCCTAGACCTCTGCTAGGACAGTATTGGTGGTTTGTAGGCTCTCTGTGAGCCTCCTTGAAAGATGTCCTGAGCATAGGTCAAGGTTAGGTCTCCTCTCGATTTAGAGAGTTGTCATGTTGAGGCCTCAGCTTCTAGAGCTTGGCCATCTACTGTGAGCATCATCAGGCCTCCTCTCGCTACAGAGAGTTATCTTTATTGAGGCCTCCGCTCGCCAGAGCTCTGCTAAGACAGCATCTGTGAGTTGTTGGCTCTCTGTGAGCCTCCTTACAAGATTTCTGATCGTGGGGCGTAGTTATGCCTCCTCTCATTTTAGAAAGTCGCCATCCTGAGGCCTCCGCTCCTACAGCTTGGCCATCTACTGCGAGCGTCATCAGGCCTCCTCACACTACTGAGTGTTATCTTCATTGAGGCCTCCGCTCACGATAGCTCCGTTAGGACAGCATCTGTGAGTAGTTTACTCTCTGTGAGCCTCCTTACAAGATGTCCTGAGCGTGGGGCGTATTTAGGCCTCCTCTTGTTTTAGAGAGTTGTCATGCTGAGGCCTTCACTCCTAGAGCTCGGCCATCTGCTGCGATCGTTGTCAGGCCTCCTCTCGCTACAGCGAGTTATCTTCATTGAGGCCTCCACTCGCCAGAGCTCTGCTAGGGCAGCATCTGTGAGTTGTTGGCTCTCTGTGAGCCTCTTACAAGATGTCCTGAGCGTGGGGCCTAGTTAGGCCTCCTCAAGTTTTAGAGTGTCGTCATGCTAAAATGCGTTTCCTGCCTTCTCTAAAATCCATGTTTATGGTAAGAGCATGCGCTGACTGCTTCGTGCCTTTTCTGAAATCCATGATTATGGTAAGGACACGCGCGGGGTGCTTTGTGACCTTTCTATCTGTGTTAGACCCTGGTTTGCTCGTAACCAGCGCAGGTTTGCCAAGTTGAGTTGGCTCTCTGTGAGCCTCCTTGGATACCGCGAGTGTTGTTAGGTCTCCTCTTGTTGAGGCCTCCGCTCCACAGAGCTCCACTCAAAGATTAATGGTGAGTAGTAGGCTCCTTGTGAGCCTGCTTAGAAGATACCCTGAGCGTGGGGCATTGTTAGCTCTTCTCTCGATTTGAAGAGTCATTCATACTGAGGCTTCGGCTCTTAGAGCTCGGCTAGGTAGTAGGGTAGTATGCTAAGTTGTTAGGCTCTCTGGGATCCTCCTTGGCTACTGACCTTAGTGTGGAGTGTTGCTAGACTGCTTCGCATTTAAGAGGTGGTATATTTAGGCCTCCACTCCAGTTAGCTCTGAGTGTTAGGCTCTCTGTGAGCCTCCTTGGACACTGGCCTGATTAAGAATGTAGTTAGGCTCCTTCTCTACTGTTGAGGCCTCCGTTCTTGAGAAGGGGATGCATCGTGAGTTCCCTTTCGAAATGAAACGTCTCAGGTTACGCATGTAACCATGGATCCCTTAGAATAGGGAACGATATGCTGCATCCCTTTGCCATGCTTCAGGCATTTGTGCGTACATCTCCTTCAGACAAGAAGTGCACCAGTTGTGACGTCATAGGCTGCCGCCTGTCAGTGTCAAGTTCATTGTTGTGTTTAGACTCATGCTTCAGACACTGGTCATGCCAGAGGCATTCCCCATAGTGCCCTCTAGGGGACGCAGTGTCTCTGAGACGTTTATGTGCACTGGAGACTGGTTGTTGCTATGGGGATTTCAAAGATATTCTGTTTCTTGTTGCGGCTCACGGAGCCGAATGATTTTGATGTGACGTGTGCGTGCACAATGATAAATGTCATCAAACCTCCACAGGCCATGTCACTTCAGTCATAAGCAAAATTAGAAATCAGCTTTCTATGTAAACAAAATGTGGTTGAATTACCTGAAAATGGGGTCCTGGGCCAGTGTCATTTGGCTTTCATCCCAGCTATAGTCAAATTTCTAACATACATATTTAGCACATTTTTAGTCAAGAAATATGTTCATAATTAATTGTATATACAAAATTAATTGCACAACATATACAACATCAGAAAAATTACAAGGACAAAACACCTCACCTTTTTCTTTTTCCGTAAAACCACCTTGACACCATCCACTGACACAATAAGGTTGACTTTTTTCTTCTTGATGTTCTTAATTTTAAATTCATACTGAAAATGATACAAAAAATGATGGATTGAATAAATTAAAACATGAATCAAAACATTAACATTACTCAAATCCTACACTTAAAAAATGGTAACCTAAAAATGGTAACATATAAATGAACTAGTTTTATTTAAATTAAGCATTAATGAATCAACCTAAATACATTAATTAAAAAACCCTAAAATATGTCTTATGTTTTTTTTGTTTTTTTTAAATAAAATATAAAATAAAAAATTCTAATTTTTGTATATTCCTTTTATGTTCAGGTCACATTGTCCTTATCTGGTAACAGTATACATGTATCTACTGTACCACCACTATATACAGTAGTTGGCGATATAGTCATATACTTTCCAAGTAAAATGCTTCTACATAAGTCTGAGGCTCCTATGAAAACATCTAAGCATACACCAGTTTTCATGTATAAAATAGGAGAGTACTAAAAAATTTTTTTTAAGTTACATTGAGACCTAAACGGGTCATTTTTGACCCGAACAAGTGTCATGTTTTATTTTATTCATTTGTTGCAAAAACAACATATGAAACACAAATGAAGTCATCATTTATCAGGTTAGAGTTAACTGGAGTCACCACATGATGTGCAGTATAAATTAACAATTAAGTATGAAAAATATGGATTGTAACATGTATATCTCAAATCAAACATACAAGAAATGTATCAAGATATCAACCATCCATGAAGATGCAATTGCTTTTGGAAGACTTGCTAGCTCTGTTAGATGCAGACTGCATGAATAATCAAAGACTAGGAAATAAACAGCTCCACAGGGGTGGAATTAAAGGCAACGCACTAGGCATACTGAAGTGCGGCTGGGTTTAAAGAATGCTCTTTCATCTGAAGCTTTGATTAATGCTAACATGGACCACTAGCAAGTCGAGCTATTTTCTAAGAAGCTTGTTGTTACTCCAGCTGCTCTCAGTTCTCCTCAAAATACATAAAACAGAGGGTGATATCTAAAAAAAAAAAACTTGAGTGCTATGAAATACTAATGACTTTATCAATTGATTTATCAACAGGAAAAGTTCCCTGAAGAGAAATCGTGTGCAAACAAGTCTAAACATTGCTCAAACATAATTCTCTTTGATGGAGCAAAGTCGATTAAGCTAAACTGTGCTGCTGCTGAAAGCACACTGCTGCAATCTCATAAATACTGGACCCTTGAAGAAAAGAAAACATGAACGAAGAGTCTTTACACTGGTACCACATTATTCAAATAAACAACTTCCAACACATGAACCACCTGCCTGACCTAATAAATGGGATTTTTCCTAAATTCAGAGTGTGAGTGCATAAAGTTGCTCTATCAGGACCAGTTCTTCAGAGCAAAATGTATAATCATTAACAGCTTTGAAAAACTCTTGAGAATTATGTAACATGGTTACAAAGACATGTTGTATTGCAAAATGAAGACGATATATTTAAGGTTTGCGCTACTTCTAGCCTAGGTCACAAATCAAAATGAATTTCATTGAGCATGTCAACTTTTGTACATACTCTTAGATGGTCTCGCTTTCACTGAAGTTTAAGATGCTCTTTGGATGGTTTTACACAAGATTTTGGAGTTTATGCAGCTTGAATCCGAACAAATACATGTTATTTTTCAGTTATTTCAGTAAATTATTATTGTTTTTGTTGTTTCTATAAAATTTTTTGTTCTTGACTGATAAATATTAATAATAATTATTATTATTTTTGTTTTGTCAATAATATTACTGTTCATTATTGATGATGATACATTATTATTATACTATTATTATAATGCTATATAAGTATATATAATATTATAATGCATACTACTACATATTAACACTCTATATTTAAAATATATGCGAATTACCAGTAATATTATATTGTAAAACATTGTGAATCAGTCATTTGTGTGCAAGATATGCCATTCATACATCATTCTTTCAAAAAGGTCAACGGTCTGCATCTTTATAAAGATTTTCCTATACTTCACCTGTCAAATTCAGGAACCCTTACCCGTATTCGTCTCATAGCGACCAATATTTCAATCCTGCTTTTGGGTCGCACAATATCCAGGCTCCCGATGAACTGTGGCAGAAGAGGTTAAACAATTAACATAAGATAAACTGTATATTCTGGGAAAAAGTCAATGATTTGCATGCATACCAGTGCAACAGGTGATGTACAGTTACCTTACATTACACTGTCCATGTAAATATTACACATTAATAAAATAATTACATCGGGTTTTTACAATCCCTTCAACAAGATAATTACATATTATAGTACTCATAATGCAGTTACATGGTAACAAGTGCACTAATGAAGTAGCCTAGTACACAATTAATAAACAATTGCATTTTTTTCTAATATTTACCTTCACCTCGAATGTGAGCCCATGCTGGAACTGCCCATCATTATCAGCAGGAATCCTCTGATCCACTGAGTAGTCTACCAAATTATATTTACTCTTCTCCAGCATCGTTTTATGGTATGGAAATATCGTTCGATACCTTTATTTACTCAACACATGCTGAAGCCTCTTTGCTGCACTGATTTCTGAGAGATTTCTCACAGAAAGATGACGGCAGACCTGAAAATGTCCAAAAGGCAAAGGCAGAGATGCTCCTCCGCAGAGGCATTCAGCATCATTTAGAGTAAATATGATCTTAGGTGTTTGTTTCATAGCCGAGCAGAAGGTTCAGAAGGCGTATGTTGACTGTTAGTGCGCAAAGTCTGGATTTCCAGCATGATGATAAATATCCCACCTGTCCCCGTTGGCGCAGACTGTCCCTTATCGTGAATTTACTATGGCGAAGGCTTGTCTATTAATATTCATCAGCCAAGCCTTCGCCATTGGAAGGTCATCAAGCAATATTAGCGCGACCAAAGTCATATTCATGAGGCAAACGTTCCCCATAGGAAGGTTTGCAAGCAAAGTCTGCATGAGTTCATTAATATTCACGTGCCAACCTTCAGCGTTGTAGCATTCGTAATTTGGCATCCATGATTTCAAAGGTTTGTGTGAAGCCATACAGTCAGGCTGTGAAATGTACCGGACTTTGGAAACACTTATGAAGTGCTGACATCTTGTGGTTGACATAAAAAAAAAAATCCACTCCTACAATGAAATTGAAGCCATGCACTGTGGCTTAAACTAGAAGTTAGGATTTAAAAATGCTATAATATCACTCATAGACAAACTGGCACACTAATCCAAAGACTGTATCTAAAGGGGCTTTGACCAATCCCAGTGTTTACAATATGTAGCCTAGGCCAATATAGCTACATATGTACCGAATACTCAACTCAACTCAATTTTATTTATAAAGCACTTTCAAAACCATAAATTTGGCCCAATGTGCTGTACACAAGAAGCATAAAATCTAAAACACAAGAAAAACATAAAACAATAAAACATGTCATTCACAGTTATCCGACCAATCAAATGTCGAAAGCCTGGTAAAACAAGTTAAAGCCAAATATTAAAAATGTCCATGCTTGATGAGGATTTTATAGGTAATGGCAAAGCATTCCAAAGAATATATCTAGACTAGACTTTATCTGAACAAATCTAACTGTTGTGTGTGAGTGTGTGTGAGTGTGTGTACCTGGTATTCCCTACATTATGGGAAACAAATGTCCCCACAGTGATAGTAATACCAGTAATTGTTGATCTTGTGGGGACATTTTTTGGCCCCCATGAGGAAAACAGTTTAAATTATACTAAATGAAAAAATGTTTTTTGAAAAATGCATAAAGTTTTCTGTGAGGGGTAGGTTTAGGGGTAGAGTTGGGAAAGGGCACAGTATAAAATCATTATTTCTATGGGAAGTCCCAATAAAAAATGGAAACCTGTGTGTGTGTGTGTGTGTGTGTACCTGTTTTTCTATTCTGGTGGGGACTTAAACCTGAATACACACAGACTCATGGGGACTCGTGTCACGGTGGGGACCTAAAGTTGATCTTGTGGGGACATTTTTTGGCCCCCATGAGGAAAACAGTTTAAATTATACTAAATGAAAAAATGTTTTTTGAAAAATGCATAAAGTTTTCTGTGAGGGGTAGGTTTAGGGGTAGAGTTGGGAAAGGGGCACAGTATAAAATCATTATTTCTATGGGAAGTCCCAATAAAAAATGGAAACCTGTGTGTGTGTGTGTACCTGTTTTTCTATTCTGGTGGGGACTTAAACCTGAATACACACAGACTCATGGGGACTCGTGTCACGGTGGGGACCTAAATTGAGGTCCCCACGGGTAAACAAGCTAATAAATCACACAGAATGAAGTTTTTTGAAAATCTAAAAATGCACAAAGTTTCCTGTGAGGGGTAGGTTTAGGGGTAGGGTTGGTGTAGGGCAATAGAATATACGGTCTGTACAGTAGAAAAACCATTACGCCTATGGAGAGTCCCCACAAGGATAACAAACCAGACATGTGTGTGTGTGTGTGTCTGCAAAAAGCAGTGGGGATTTTTCAATGACTCTTTCTGCAGGTTACATTGTTACGCCAGTAGGTGGCAACAACTGTGCCTTTATGAATGAGTCATTGAATCATTCATTCAGCCAATTTGTTCAGAAACACTCATTCATTCAGGAATGTCCTGCAAATGTTTTCATGAGTGAATTCATTCTGCTGTGCGTTTGTCCATTTTTTATTATTTTTTGAATATTTTTGGAAATTAGTTTACAATATTGTAACAAATGCAAGTCACTCAGTATAAACATTAGTATAAAAATTGCATAATTTATTAACATTATAATTTTACTGTAAAATACTGTGAAATGTTTGGTTTTTGAAGTGACAGCTATGAATTACTGTGTAATTTATGGTTTAAAACAGTAAAAGGAAATTCCCACACTTTAAAAATGAGTGTAATTTTAACTGTAAATTATTGTAAGAACACTATGGAAAAAAAAACAACAACAATAAAAAAACTGTTAATATGTTAACAGTAAGTTCCTATACCATATACAGGGAAACACTGTAAAAGATCTAAACAGACATTCCATGTAATTGTACAGTAAAATGCTGTTAATTGTACTGTTTTTAGAAGTAAAAAAGAACAAATCAACGCATAATTTACAGTCAAAAAACTGTAAACTGATATTCCCAGAATTCCCTGCTTGACACTCCACATTTGAAAGTATTTTGTTTAAATAATCATGTTTCTCAATAGTTTTTGTTATCAGTTACGTACATTTGGGTTTTTCTTATCTTCAGTGGTTAAACCAATGTTTGTTTGCATTATTAGTTATGTGTGTTACCATGATGGTGTTTTGTGTTTGCGGGAATGACTCTGTGTGCCTTCTGTATATTACTATGTACTTTAGCTTGTAGAAAACTACTTGTGATGAACTTTGATTTTTCTGTATTTTTTTTACAAAATTATTCTGGCAACCACAGCTGCCAAAATTATTTTGTAAAAACAACGATTTTTTTTTTTTTTACAGTGCAGAAGTTGCTGTGTGACATCATATATGATTATATTTTATTTACATAGTTTTGTTTCTTTCTGGGTTTTTTTTTTTTTGGTCAACAATAATATACATGGATGTTTTGCATTACATTTTATGTTATTTAGTGTTTTAATCATGTTTGTGTCTTACCTGATGTTGCTTTATATTTGTGTGTATGACCATATGCACTGTCCAGTTGGCGAATGGCTGTTAATTCTTATGAATTTGTACACAATTTCATTCATATGCCTTCATATGATCCACTTACACTGCACTGCAGTAATCAAATTGTATAAGAATCTGTGATCTTAAAGGGTTAGTTCACCCAAAAATGAAAATTAGCCCATAAATTACTCACCCTCAAGTCATCCTAGGTGTATATGACTTTCTTCTTTCAGACGAATCCA